ACAACCATGGACAAAATTAAAACACGAAGAACAAAGGGCAAACGCGAAGATTCTCCATGATTAAGAAGAACGATGATGTTTTCAACCTTCGATTTTGCGATTCCTGACCAACCTCCGTCTCAATCCTTCGTGATTTCGTTTCCAATTTCAAGTTCAATTTCAATCTCTTTTGGTTCATCCGAACAGGTTTGGATTTCGCTCTGATTTCATCTCTGGTTCTGTTTTTTTTTCATTTCTTCTTCTAATCCAATCTATTTCGGTTCTATTTTTGGGTTTTGACTCGATTTGTATGTTTTTTTGGGATTTGTGGGTTTTGTGTTTGGGTTTAGGGATGAAACAGATTGTTGATGAGTTTGGAGGTTACAAGTCGTGTTGAAGATAACAAGGGGTTTGTAGAAGAAATTAAGAAATGGTTCTTTTTTGAAGAGATCCCCCCTCCTTTGCGTAACGTTATGGCCCCCTTTTATATAACTCTTTGAGGATATTTATGGAACGAATCTGAGTGAGAGGGTGAGCTGGAGATACGAGATAACCGTATGTAGCGTGAATTTTTCTCAATTCATGGGATGGCTGGAAAGTGGTCTTGTATTTTGTTGTTGTCCTTTTGTGAAGGGCATTTGCAGTGTAGGGTCACGGTATATAAGTATGGCTAATTTGAATTCATGTCACTTTATGTTAACTTTGTGGCTTTTTTTTTTTGCTTGCAGTTGTTTTGGGAGTTATGTGTATCTGTTGTGGGATGCTCATCTTGGTTGTGAAATTGTTTGCTTTTGCAGGTTTAAATTTATCCCTTGTACTACGTTGCAGAGAACACGTAGTGGTTTTGGAAAGGCTTTGTAAGGGATGTGTAGAGCTTGCAGCAGCTCAGTTTTTTGCGAGTCCAAATTCCTTTTGCTGTTGTAAACTAGGAAAATTTATGTATTCACCGCAGATCCTTTTGTGGTATATGGCTAAGTTGAATTCAATGGTGATGGTGGGACGTGTAATGATTTTTTTTGGTTGGAAAATTTGTGTGATGGAATCTTTTTACTGATGATGTATTGGAAATAATTATGACATGGCTTATGATTTTTTGTATATTTGTAAATGGGCCTTCTATTGTATGATATAAAATTGTGAGTTTTTGTTGATCTTTTACATTTTTTTTGTAAATCTTGAAATGGAACTTGTATGGATCATGAACAAGAATTTTTGTAGAATTCACTTTTTTTGTAAAATCCACTTTTTGTAAATAAATGTGGGCTTTTGTAAAAAAAAAGGTTATTTGCTTATAAAGCAAATTTGGTGCAAATGGTAAAAACATGAATTTGAACTTTGAGAATTTTTCTTGTATCATCATATGCCCTTTTTGTAACTCTTTAAACTCCTTGATTAAAAACAATAATGAATAGAACTGGAATTTTCATAATAACTCCATGTTTCACATTTCAAACTATTCTTGAATTCTTCCATGAGCCGCAGGAGAGAGAATAATGCCTAGAAGGTTTAAAGGATTATGACTTGAAATATGCACGTCAGTACACCACAAGATCTCTACAATCAATCATACTTGCTTTTCTACAGCCTAAGAACTTAATTCTTGCACAAGTGACTTGAATCGGCTCCAAACCCTAACTGAAGAATTAGCCTTTTATGAACCTCAACCATAAACTACTTGACTTGATACAGACTAGTAACCTGACATTCTGGTCTACAATTGGATTCACCCTAGCAACAATATGGGCAGGAACAACATATTCTTTTTTTTTTTAATTTTCTAAATGATAGTTGGTGGTTGAATGTATAGAAGGAAAGATATACACGGGTCGGACAAATTTGGGGTATGACAGTTCCAAGATTTAATAAGATCTTTTCTGCATAATTGATGCAGCCCTCAACGTATGGATCAAGCAATATCTGAGTGAAGATTTCAAAGCCTATGGACTGCTGAGGTGTAATAAAGAGCAACCTAAACCTAATGTTTTACATCTTTCACTTCTGTAAATATAAGGGGAGGTTTTAAAGTGTAAGGTTTTGAGAGTCTTTTTTGTGTGACTTTGTATGTCACCCATGTATCTTTTGATATATTGAGGTAGACAAATTGTATTTTGTTAATTGTTCACTCTAAAGCTTTTAGGCAAGAGTGTATTATTCTTGGTTGAAACTTTTAAGTAAAACTAAGTATTGCACTTGGAAGAGTTGGTACTTCTATTTTGGATTGTTGTTGAATTGTCACTAGTTGGTGACTGATAAGAAGTGGGAGAGGGATCTCATATCTAGAAGATTTTTAGGTAGAAGTAACACAAGATAGTGATTAGGCGAGAAGTTGTAAACGAAAGAGTTTAGCTTTGAACTAATGTTATCATAATGAATTTCTTTTTTGGCTTGGATGCCCCCAGATGTAGGTGATGTTGCACCGAACTGGGTTACCAATTGACTGTGTTATTTATCTTTATGCAATTTTATTTTCAGCCTGATTTATTTGCTCTGTAAGACAGAGAGATGTTGTAACATCTGTCTTGACATTATGTTCTTATATGAGGACATCATTAGTAACATGTGCTAGAGTGCCAAAATTTCAATATCCATTTTCCAACTATGGTGAAAGACCTTTTTTGTAGTAGTGCCAACGAGACCCCCGAGCCATATTTTCATCCTACACCCCCTTAATAAATAAAGGGAATTCGGTGTTTGCAAGAATGTACAAACACCGACTTCAAGGAAGTTTGGGAGAGAACCCTCACCTTGTCAAAGAATCAGCAAGAACCGACAAGACAAGGTTATGCCGCTTTCACAAGTGTCATGGTCATAACACAGAGGGTTGTGTCCATCTAAAAGACACAATCGAAGAACTGGTAAGGAATGAGAGGTTAGGTTGGTACACTCAAGAGGACGATGAGAAAGACTGCCGTGAAAAAAGAAGGGGTTTTACACAAGTTAAGCTCAAAAACCTTAACCCAAGCCTTTTTGAGGTTTAACTTACAACTTTTATGTCCTTTACAAATACGATTCAAAAGAGAATCACATTCTTGAGTAAATCGATTTAATCATCACACCAAAAATAAAGATATCAAAATTTAATTCTAATATGTATTGACACTTGTTCTGTTACATCAAAGTTTCCAACATTGTTTGAGCATCGAGGGTGATGTAGTTTATATACAACACTACATTCCTCAACCAAACGAGACAGATTTTCATAAAGATAAATTTGTAACGAATTTCCACATCCAAAACGGACAATACCTAGTAGTCGTAGTGGTTACGAACATCAAATCGATGAAAACATTAGCACTAGAATGAGGAGATGTACCCACATACTCAAAGTTTCAGACTCTTTAGACCCTTAGCCTCGAGTTATTTGGCTGAGTTCAAGCTATCGATAAAAATTGAGTTGTTGATAAACTTAATTGTGTCGAGTTCGACTAAAAGAATTGTCACAAACTTAAATCAAATTTTGAGCCGAAACAATTTTTATCCAGACATATCAAATTTTGAGAAGATTTCTCAATTCATTTCAATTACAAGAATTTTTTTAATAATATACTTTGACATATTTATTTAAATGCTCCTTGGATTTATGTAGACATGGATCCGAACCAATTAAAAAAGTGAGGATGAGGATAGTCTTTTAAAAAATGTGGAAGAAAAATGACAATGTGCCATTTTAGACGTACTTATAGGCCATCTCAGTGTAACCCGGCACCGTTTCCTAATTACTCGACGACTACACCTCTTTCCATTTTTTACATTCATACCCTTTCACTACCTTCACCATTTTCATTATTATGACCATGAATTTTCACAAACTTAAATCAAATTTTGAGCTGAAACAATTTTTATCCAGCCATATCAAATTTTGAGAAGATTTCTCAATTCATTTCAATTACAAGAATTTTTTTAATAATATCCTTTGACATATTTATTTAAATGCACCTTGGATATATGTAGACATGGATCGAACCAATAAAAAAAGTGAGGATGATGATAGTCTTTTAAAAAATGACAATGTGCCATTTTAGGCGTACTTATAGCCCATCTCAGTGTAACCCGACACCGTTTCCTAATTACTCGACGAATACACCTCTTTCCATTTTTTACATTCATACCCTTTCACTATCTTCACCATTTTCATTATTATGATCATGAATTGTCACAAACTTAAATCAAATTTTGAGCCGAAACAATTTTTATCCAGACATATCGAATTTTGAGAAGATTTCTCAATTCATTTCAATTACAAGAACTTTTTTAATAATATACTTTGACATACTTATTTAAATGCTCCTTGGATATATGTAGACATGGATCCGAACCAATAAAAAAAGTGAGGATGAGGATAGTCTTTTAAAAAATGTGGAAGAAAAATGACAATGTGCCATTTTAGGCGTACTTATAGGCCATCTCAGTGTAACCCGACACCGTTTCCTAATTACTCGACGACTACACCTCTTTCCATTTTTTACATTCATACCTTTTCACTACCTTCACCATTTTTATTATTATGACCATGAATTGTCACTAACTTAAATCAAATTTTGAGCCGAAACAATTTTTATTCAGACATATCGAATTTTGAGAAGATTTCTCAATTCATTTCAATTACAAAATTTTTTTTAATAATATACTTTGACATATTTATTTAAATGCTCCTTGGATATATGTAGACATGGATCCGAACCAATAAAAAAAGTGAGGATGAGGATAGTCTTTTAAAAAATGTGGAAGAAAAATAACAATGTGCCATTTTAAGCGTATTTATAGGCCATCTCAGTGTAACCCGGCACCGTTTCCTAATTACTCGACGACTACACCTCTTTCCATTTTTTACATTTTTATCCTTTCACTACCTTCACCATTTTCATTATTATGACCATTAGTAGATTAGTACCACAATTCATAACCATATATAACACACTCTCTATCTTTGGGCTGAGGATATTATATTAATACCCTCACCCTCTTCCCCATCTCTTCCTACCTATAATACCTTCTCAATCAACATCACATGGTTCATCGTTATGATTTTCTCTTTGTATTTTCAGGTCATTCTCTCACTTTCTTTCTCTTTTATATTCCATCTATTTAACTTTAAGAAACACTTTCACTCTTTCTTCACCACCAACAACAATAATCATAAATGCCCTAACCCTAACCCTAAGCGTCCAGTTTCATCTAACCCAAAGCGTCCAGTTTCATCTAACCCAAAGCTTTTGATCTCTCTTCCACCGCGTCCGACGAACCAAGATTTGGAACAGTTGATGGTTTGTACAGAGAGTATTGAATGTGAAAGCATGCAGTTGGTAGATAATTATGATTATTCGATAATAGATGAAAATAATGAAGGTGATGATGACGATGAAGATGAATATTGTTGCAGGAATACTAGGGTTGATGAAGAAGAAGAAGAAGATGTAAATGGTAATAATACGTTTCCGCCACCGCTTTCATCATTAGACGGTAACGGTCTACCAAGTTATATTCTGTTACCGGTGAGGATGAACGGAAGATTACAGCTCAACAAAATGAACGTAAAGAGACCTAAAACTGTTTACGCGGATAGAGAAGATGGACGGTTGAGATTGTTTCTTGTTACAGATCAATGTTGCATAGAAGATGATGATGTCGAACCAGAGGAAGAGGAAATGGTTGAAGAGAGTAGGTATGAATATGAAGAAGATGATAGGGTTAGAGAGTGGAATAATAATAATAATAATAATAATAATAATAATAATAATAATAATAATAATAATAATAATAATAATAATAATAGTGAAAAGTATAGAAAGGGGTATCAAAACTGTCACCAGCAAATGGTGAATCATCATATTCATGGAAGTCATGGTAATCTACTCATGTATGGAGTTAGTATTGTATGATTCTATGATGATTAGCATATACATTGGAATTGCAGGTTTACTCTGTGGCCTCATTTCGATTTGTGTAAGTTGATATTATTGATTATGCCTCATTTTATGTTGGTGTTGTTGTTGTGCTTCTTTCCAACTTCTAGATTTTTTTTTATCACAATTGTGTTTTGTGATAGAAACTAGATAGAGGTTCTATGTTACACTCATGTGTATACACAATAAATAAATGGTGTTTTAATGTGACTTCATAGTCAAATTAATTATCTAGGTTGATTAATTGTCTATTTCAACAGATAAGATATTCTAATTTAAAATAGAAATTAATCCCAAAGAGTAATATTGATACACCTGTGTGGAAGAAGTTAATCACATTGCTAAATCTGAACTTAGAGTATATCACAATAAAAACTACTAACTAAAATTTAAACAAAGTTGAGTTTTAAGTTGAATTTGCAAGCAAGATGATTGCTAATAGATTTATGATTGACTAGAACAAGTGAATCAAAGAGTGCTTATAAAACTTATTTATTCATGATCAATCAATACAGTTAATGCTAAAATCTAGACCACGATTTACGGTGGTTCAACTTCAACCATCTTGAAGTAAAAATTACCATAACAGTAAAATTGCATTTCTCATGTAATCCAAGGGTACATGTCAGTTTATATACTGAAAGTACTAACTAATTTATCCTTATTTTAATAATCAAAAGATTAATTACTAATAACAAGGACCTAGTAGAGAAGTAAACAAAAAACTAAAAAATAACAATAATTTATTATTTATATCTATAACACTCATACAAGCGGGACTATGAAGATCAAGAAAGGTTAAGTTTGGAAATATCTGAATCGGCAGGTGTGTAGAGTGGTTTCGTAAGAAAATATGCAATTTGAATATGAGTATGTATTGGGTACAACTTGATGAGACCAACTTCAATCTTTTTAGAAGTGACATGGCAATAAATTTGAATGTGCACCTTTCATGGAATGATGGGTTATACGCGAGGTATATGGCGGAGTTGTTGTCGCAGTAAATACAAGATGGTTATTTGAAAGAGTGATTCAAATCTCTGAATAAATTATGGAGGCACAAAATTCCGCACGTGAGACTGGCTAGTGCTCTATATTCGACTTTAGAATTGATGCAAGAAATAATTTGCCGCTCCTTGGATTTCCATGAGATTAGTGAAGAGCTGAGAAAATTTTCATAACTTGTGACTGACTTTTTAGAAGTAGGGCATGCTCCCTAATCCAAGTCTCTAAAGCTAAATAAAAGTAAGTTAGTGGTTGTAAGTACTCTTGATTGGCTGCATTTTGTGGCAAAACTTTAGAGCGTGCATGTATGTCATACTAAATGTTAGGACATACTTAATGATGTGTGTGCAGGGCAAGTTAACTATAAGTTAACTTAGTTAAGCTGAATGTCATACAAAATGTCATAACACTGAACGTATGACATCCAGCGGGTAAGGTTGTTTTTCTGGTATCTATAAACCAGGAAACAGAACAGGAGCTCAAGCTGAACATTAAGAGACTTTCTAGAAGCCCTAGGCGAACTAGAATATCCCTGAAATAAGTGGCAAGTGTGCAGATCCTTGAAAATAGGTTTGTTATGGATAAAACCTAATTAATACACCAAGGCCCAAAAGGACTGACAACTGCTATAAAGATCAGAAGATGCAATCCTGAATAGCAGCACTTGACAACAGAAGAATAAAGAGTGCAAATTAAAGAGTCCTTGGAAGTGAAGAAGGCTAGTCTTCACGTGTGAATTCTGTCTAGGAATACTTGTAATCCAAGCAATTGTCTGGTGGATGATTTGCATTGGATAGGTAGATTCTAGGATGTGTCTCACTCGAAGCTTTGAAGCAAGAGTGTGTGAGTTCCTTGATCAAAGCTGTGAAGCAAGATCAAGGTGTGTATGAAGTGTCGCTTCATATTGAATTGTGTAATTGTTTGATATCACTGTTGTATGATTGAGGGGGAGTGAGTGGGTATACTCAGGTCTAGAGTGTCTCTAGGTTGAAGTGTCATTGGGTAGGGATTAAGTGAGGAGTGTAAACTGGAGGTTTAACTCTGAATTGATTCTACTGATAGTGAATTTCCTCCCTGCCTTGGTAGCCCCCAGATGTAGGTGTTGTTGACACTGAACTAGGTAAACAATTGTTGTGTTTTTACTGCTTTTATTATTACTGAGTATTAGCTGTTAAGTAACAGATGTCATAGTGGATGTTATAACTTTGGGAATAACATCCATCATGTGCTTGCCAGAATTTTCAATTAGCATCAGAGCAGGCACCCTGCCTATTTAAATCTGGGTGAGATCTAGGGAAAATAAATTATGGTACAATGGATAAAGATATAGGATTCACTAATAGACCTCCAATTCTGGATGGATCTAATTATGATTATTGGAAACTAAGGATGATTGCATTCCTAAAATCCTTAGACAGCAAGGTTTGGAGAGCTGCAAACTCTGGCTGAAACTTCCTGTGAAGGCTGACAAGAATGAAGTAGATGTGTTGATTCCTGAAGAAGAATGGAACAAAGAGCAAGAGGCCTTAGCTCTTGGAAACTCTAAGGCATTGAATGCTTTGTTCAATGGCATAGATAAAAACATCTTCAGGCTGGTACACCACTGTGAACTAGCAAAGGATGTTTGGGACACTCTCAGAACTACTCATGGAGGAACTTCCAAGGTCAAAATGTCAAGACTTCAAATGCTGACCACCAAATTTGAAGGTCTAAGAATGAAGGAAGATGAGACCATTCATGAGTTTTACATGAATGTTCTTGAACTTGCAAACACCTCAGGAGCTCTGGGAGAAAAGATGAATGAAGAGAAGCTTGTAAGAAAGATTCTAAGGTCACTACCTAAAAGGTTTGCTATGAAGGTTACAACCATTGAAGAAGCCCAAGACATATGCCACATGAAAGTGGATGAACTCATTGGCTCCCTTCAAACCTTTGAAATGGGAAAGATTGATCAGGCTGTGGAGAAAAAGAACAAAAGCATAGCTCTTGTCTCAAACACTGCTGATTCAGATGGTGAAAAGGAGGAGAATCTGTCTGAAGCACTTGCCTTGCTTGGAAAACAGTTCAACAAACTGGTCAAAAGGATAGATGTTAGGTCTAAACCGTATATCAAAAACATGTCTTCAGATAAAGAGAATTCTGAAGATAAAGTCAGCCAAAGCAGAGGAGTACAGTGTCATGAGTGTGAGGGATATGGTCATATCAGAAAGGAATGTCCCACATACCTCAAAAAGAAGGGAAAAAGCTTCACAGTCACTTGGTCTGATGAAGATTCAGACAGTGGATCAGAAGAGGAATCAGCTAAACATGTCACTGCCCTTAATAGTGTGTGCATCTCTGATGATGATTCAAGTGATTAAGAGTTATCTTTTGAGGAGCTTGCAGCCTCATACAAAAAGCTTCACATCAGAAGCACAAAACTGGTTCAGCAAGGAGAGCAACAGAAGAAAATCATCAAGGAATTAGAAGATGAAAAGAGAGAGCATCTAGCCACAATAAACACACTCAGAAGTGAAGTGAATGAGTTGAAATGTAAAAAGAATCAAATGAAAAAATCCATAAGGATGCTCAATTCTGGAACTGACACCCTAGAGGAAATCCTTCAGAATGGACAAATCTCAGGAGATAGATCTGGACTAGGATATGTTGATAAACAAAATCCTGTGCTAAAACTCAAGAGATTACAACCTGAGGTCCAGAAGCCAAAGAGGATGTCACAACCAATGTCACAACATCCAACCAACAGAAACTGGAATCAAGTCAAGAGTAGATTCCAAGGGTATAGATGTTACCACTGTGGAAAACTTGGTCATATCAAATCTGTGTGTTTCTGGCTGCATGGATTTCCTAGTCATCCTCATCAAGAACAGAGAGCCCATGTCAAAAGGCAACATCAAGCAAGAACAAAGAAGGGTGCTCCTAACAGGCAAAGACATTGGGTTACCAAGAATATGGCCTTAACAACTCACACTGATCTAAGGATGCCAACCCAGGAGGACTGGTACTTTGACAGTGGTTGTTCCAGACATATGACTGGAATTGAGGATCTCTTGACAAAACTCAACCCTCATACATTCAGTCATGTAACCTTTGGTGATGGAGCTAGAGGAAAAATCACAGGTGTTGGACAACTTGACAGTCTTAACGCCTCAAAATTGAAGGATGTCTTACTGGTTAAAGGACTGACTATAAACCTAATAAGCATAAGTCAGCTATGTGATCAAGGTTTAAAAGTCCACTTTTCAAAGAACAAGTGTGTGGTTGTCAATGAGGAAGGTGAGGAAGAAATAAGGGGATCTAGAGCCAAGAATAACTGTTATCTATGGGAGCCTATAAGTAACCTCAATGCCTTGGCCAATAAGGAAACTAATGACCAACTATGGCTGGAGAAAGGAAAACAACCACTGAATGTGGATAGGACCAGGTCCAAAACATTAGCAAGTGGATCTTCAAAGTGTGCTTCAGAGAGAAGGACAGGATATAAGAAACTCCATGAGGGGAAGCTAGAAAAGAAGGGATACCCAAAGACTGGTCATCAGGGAAAGCTAGATATGTTATATTGGAATCTGATGGAGTCTATGGAAGTTTCCAAGCATACAGGAAGCAATGTCACTCCAGATGTCATGACCTTGTTTTGTGACATCAAGAGTACCATTCACACAAGTTCTGATGAGTTCAAGGGAGACATGCTCAGGGGTAACGTGTGTAAATGGCAAGAGGGTTGTGCTAAACATGGTGAGTATGTCAGTGATGACATGGTGTCAAGAAGTGTCAAGGAGTCTCAATTTACAAATTCCCTAAAATTGAAGCCCTCCAGAAATGATGGCTTATAGCAATTAATAGTAAAGGGGAATTACATTTTGAATTTAAATCATTTAATGATAAATCAAAAAGCTAAGTTCCCTCCTATTGGGCAATCATACCCCATTTCCACTTATATAATACAATCCCTCTACTCTTGGTGCCATCAC